GAAAATATTACATATATTTTATATTAAATGTTGTTGTAATAATATTGAAAAGTGATGATTTTTTGCTTTTTGGAATGAAAGTTTTGGACTGACTTTTGGACGAATTGACGGAAGTTAAATTAATAATTTAAAATTGTTTACGGAATCTTCTAAAAACAGAAAAATAACATTTATTTATCCATCAAGTCCGGGAAAAGTTATGAAAATAGAGATTATTATTGATTACGCTGACCAATCATAAAAAATGTTTTTTAAGTTTTGTATTCTTATCTTTAAAATAAAATTATTTGCATGTTTATATATTGAAAGTTTTATAGATATATTGAAAGAGAATATAATATTAGAAATATCGAAAATATTTTTGATTCATAATACAGAGTATCCTATTTTAATTAAAATATTTAAATATTGTTCAAAAAAATAGGGAAGAGACGGAAAAATATTTCAGACAAATAATAGTTATATATGGTTTGAAGGGGAAAAGAACAGTTTCTCGAAAGAAAAATTTTTAAGTTTGTATAGAGATTATTTTTTAATGAAAGAGAGAGAACTATTCTTTTAATGAAATTATATACTTTTTACATATATGTAATATTTCCTCTTATTACATTCTGCATATAAAAGGTAGAGAAAAAGTTGATATATGAGCACTTATTTGACAATAAATGATAATAAACCATATCCATTTTTACTATAATATAAATGATAACAAACCATTTTTTATTGTTGAATGAATAGCGACGTTAGAAAAAGTGTTTCGAAATTCGTAAATATCGCAGCAAAATATCGCAGTAAGAAAGTTCTTAAAAAAATAAGTTATAAAAGTATTGTCGTTCCGTGCAATAGTTTTCCAAGTAAAATAAGTTTAAAAACTGATCAATTATTTAGATTAAAGTTTAATAGTTATAGAATAAGATTGCCGAAATCGCACCACTTTAGAATATTCTAAGTTTTTTACAGTACAATAAATTGCACTCTTTTCCTTTTCTTATGTAATTTCTTCATAATTCTTTTGTGCTATTATAACGTTTAAAATGAGGATTTTTTTGTATGGTGCGAACGAGGAAATTCGTTGTTTAAATTATACCATATTCATTATATCAATATTCCTCATTTAAATCTTATGATAATGCAAAAAAATTACATAAGAAAAAGAAAAAATTGTTTTTATTTATTATGCTGTTAAAATTTCAAGAATATGTTTTTTATAATTTCTGAGACACATGGTAACTTCAAAAAGTAATTCAAGAAGTTTTTACGTGAAACAAAATAAATACTTCGTAGATTTACAATATATTTTTACATAATAATGAATGGAATAAAAATGAAAAAATATTAGATAACATGCGATTAAGAAGTTAGATTGTGGAAATTAGGAAACATTATATCATGTGCGATTTAGGAAATTAGAAGATTTTTTAAACTTTTATTTATTTTATCTATAAAAAAATGTAAAGCAAACTTTACTCCCATTAATTTAATTTTAATAATATTCTAATAACGACAAATGGTTAAGACTTAAATAACTTATATTTTTTGTAATTCTGCTATGAAATACGTTGAAAAATAGCAACGCTATTTTTCACGACTTTTTTTTATTTATGTAAATAATAACATTCCTGTTGCACTTCATGTCATGAGACAACAAAATAGCATTACAGTACCATATAGTTAAATAACTCGTAAAAAAGTACATAAATACAATAATTAAAATTTTAAGCGAGGTAGTGCGATTTAAGAATCGGTGTAATTTCGGCAACTTTACCCTATATAGTCTTAGTAGTTTTCTTAATAGTTTTTGAAATACAGATAAAATTTAAAAACTGTCTCATATAGATATGATTAAATAACTTCGTATAACCGTAATTTATAATATAATTGGTCAGTTTTTAAACTTTGTATTTCAAAACATTGCGCGAAACGATAAATCGCAAATATATTTTTATAATTTCTTTTGTAATAGTTATGTAATAGTTTGATTTGTAAATTTCGGACCGCTTTGTCTAGTTTCGTATATCTCTATTTATTTAATAATA